TAGAAAACAGTGCTTGTATAAAAAAAAGGAAATGGACATCATATATAATTATTTGGCTGTGTTGGTAAGGGCTCTTCCTTGTTTGATGACCTGGATCATGACTTGACTGCTTTTGATTTGGCATGCAAAAGCCGTTTTAAGAAACTGCAATTTGCATCAGGGAATGAAGGGAACACGAAGCAAAGCTTGGAATCCTCACGTCGGCCACTGACCCTTGCTCCCAGTGGTTCTCAGTTGAAAATTCCCATGTGCGCGGTGCTGGTCCCCAGCTCAGGCTGACGAACTGGCGGGCTGGGAGCGCGCCGGCGTTCCCACGTCTCCACTGCACCCCGGACTGTTCATCAGCCTGGAAGGGTGGTGCCTTCTCTTCTTTCCCTCTCTCCAAAAAAGGAGCCCTGGTAGGAATCATTTAGTATCAGCCCTCAGAATGAGCTGACAAGTTTTCTCCACTCTGCTCTGAAGCTCTTATTAATTCCAGGAGCAACGATGGAAGCAACAGCTTTTGGAACAATGTGCACGCTAACGATTTCGTGGGGGAATGCTTTCTACCTTACAATGATACCAGTGAGCATTTCTAGATAGGCACGAGCCTTCTCTTTTATTTGCAGCGTTCCCAGAGCATACCATTTTATGTTACCCAGTTTTTCAACTGTTGATAGCAGAGGTACTGTTAAAGGTGAGGGAGTCGAAGGGGTATGGGCACTGAACCAAACACAAACACAAATGCATTTCAACAAATCATTATTGGGCACCCGTTTGCTTTTCGGGATGTCAGTGAACTGTAAGCCAAATGAAAATCCCTGTCTTCGGAAAGTTTGCATTCTATTAGGTTTCAATAAGCATCATAGATAAGCATATTACACAGTGAGTTCAAAGGTGAGAGATGCTATGGAAAAAAGAAGAGCCAGGTAAGGGAGGAGTGTGGATGTGTGGGTGCAGCTCACACTGTTCTGCAGAGTGGGTCCGGTGCGCTTCCCCACACAGGGGACACCTTTGAAAGTGCTCGGATAGGGCGGCATCTTATCCATTTCCCATAGTAACAGGATCGATCTTTTCTTTTTTGTGTGCCCAGTATATGTCGGTTCTTGTCCCAGGTATCTTAAAATGTCATTTCTAATTCTCAAAATGATCCTATAAGGGAGGTAACCTCATATCATTTTTGTACAACAGGAAACCGAAAGGCTCAGTGAAGTTGAGCATGGGCCCAGGATCACGTAGCAAATGCATGGCCGAGTAAGGATGTGAATTCTGGTAGCTCGTTCCAAAGCTCCTGGTCTTTCCTGCACCTTGGGGGTTTCCCAAGATGTGGTTTCCCAGGGTGTGGTTCGGAAAGGACCAGAATGCCCAGGAGGCATTCATTAGCAAGTACGGATTCCCAGGCCCCATCCCAGCGCTACTCCAACTGATTTTCTGGAGCGCGGCCCGGGAATCGGAATGTTTGGCAACTGTCCTCGCCACTCTGGGGCACGCTCCAGTTTGAGAGCGACTGGCACAATCTGCTGCCTCGGTTTTTGAGAGAGGGATCACGATGGCTGTTACCAGGACCTCTCTCCAGCTCAAGAATTTCCCACCCAGTGGCTGAAAAGCAAACAACCGGTGTGAAAGCCTGTCCTAGCCAGCCTCTCGAAGCCTGCGCCAGCCTCTGAATGTAGGTCCCTCTCCTGCATGGTGGGACAAAGCCAGGTTCTTTTCGGCCCTCTCTCACTAACGCAGATGCCTCTCCCCCATGGGAGAGGCGGTCTCAACATCAGGACATGAGGGACATTATTAACCTTCAGAACAAACGTTGGGTGGTCGCCAGGCCTCTGTGGGTTTGTACGACCCTTCCATCCGTTCTGCCACCTTTCCCAACAAGTCTTCCTTTCTAATGCCAATGGGGAGCAAGGCCTCCCTTTCTGAGCTCATCAACCCCTCCAAAAGCCTGAAACAGCACAATGGCTAACAATCTTTTACCATCGGGCTTCGGCCGTCCTTGTTTGGAATTATTGTGCTCATTCTGAAAGCTTCTTTAAGAAACAAAACGAAACAGCGACATACATGACCGAATTTTTGTCCACCCACGCAGACCAGCTTTGCCAACCAGTCAGCAGCTTAGGATAATCAACGAGGTCCTGAAATGCCAAATATGCCAAGAGGACCTGCCAGTGACGAGGTTCATTTTCTTTTGTGCTTTATAGAAATAAAACAAGTCAAGTCAGGGCCAGGGCACAGGAGCGTGTAGATTTTAGAACTAGGAGGGATCTTGGTTTTTATTCATTCTAACCTCGTCCTCTGATAACTAAAGAAGTAGACATCTCAGAAGGTGAGGTCACAAAGCTGATGTGGAGCAAAGAAAGGACTAGAGCAAAGCTTTCTGAATCCAGAGCCAGTTTGCTTTTTACTGACCTCGGCTGGGGATCTTCGTCTCACCTCTCCTCCCTTTTTATTCCTCAACACATAATTCCCATCGTCTGTCTAAGGAAATCAAGAATGCTTATATTAATTTTAACTTACTCTGGAAAGGTATCCTTAATTCCTCCACGTCTAAACCTGTTCATATGTATAACGAGTAAAGATTAACAATACGGAAATCATATGTTCCAGAACTACCACCAAGTCATTCATTAATTCAACCAATGTTTCTTGTGTTTCTGCCACGTGCCAGGCACAGGAGGAATGCAGTAAAGAAAGTAGATGGAAACGGACACAAGTTCATCCTGTCGTGGAGTCTGCGCTCCAGTGGGGAAACACACAACAAACAGGAGAACTTAGTAAAACCTTGTATTCGTAGTGATGAGTGCCACGGAGAAAAGGCAGCGAGAGGGAACAGGAAGCGACGGTGTGTGCACGTGGGGGTGGGGGGGGTGCTGTATTTTAGACAAGGTGGCCAGGAAAGGTCTCACTGAGAAGTAAAGACCACAACCAGCGAGCACAAATATGAACTTCTACTCCAGAGACCCTGGACGTCAATGTCTCCCGAGAAGAGCAAGCGAAAAGCGTGTCTGGAAAATGCTGGGAAAGGTGGAACCGAAGGACTGACATTCTTCTGCTGTTTTCCGTAGTCCGGGCGGCAGGAAATGGTGGCCAGGAAGGGCTGTGTTAGTATCCGAGTGGAAAAGAAATGCCTGATGGTTTGTGGTTTCATCTAAAGAACTTTGCTTAGAATACAGAATTTAGAGAACAGAATTAAGATTTGTGAGAGGTATTATTTTGTTAAAAAAAAAAAAAATCCAGAGAGCATGAAGTCATGCTAAGACTGCTTGGCAAGATGACATGACTTAAAACTTGAAGAAAATGTTGAAAAGTTCAGTTACTTGATTCATCCTAATATGTAATTAATTATGAGGGTTTTGGCTGAAGTGTGAAACTTATACACAGGCAATGACTAATTCCACATTTTTTGAGAGCTCCTTGTTTGCAAACAGGGATAGTGCTTCAGAGACTCAAGGAGGAGCAAGACACCGTTCTACCCCAGTGAACTGTTCACTGTGTGTAAATCCATTTTCTCTTCTTCCTGGGCATCCAGCAGGAATCCATTTCCCAGCTTCCCTGGTAGTTAAGCATGGCTTGTGCAATGCAATTTGAGCGGGCGTGATGGATGGTCCTTCTAGGTTTGGCCCATAAAATCCTGGGGGATTGCAGATCTCAAGACGCAAGGAGCTCAAGTCTCTAAATCGTTAGCTGCAAAGCTGTCTGACAAACATCTGATTATACTTTACATCAACAAGATATTTATGTCTGGTGTGCCGAAGTACTGAGATTTGGGCCAGCTCATGCTGCTCAACTAACAAGATTATTAATTAACATTTACATAGACTTTTACAGCCTGCAGAACGCTTGCACATAGCTCATGATTCTGGGAACCACCCTGGGAAATAGGGCGTACTTTTAACCTTCCCTTTTCACGGAAGCCGAAATCGATGCTTGTTGAGTGCTGTATTACTTGGGCACGATCACACAGGCAAGACGCAGAGGGCAAAGAGTCTAAAGCAATGGCTCTCAAATTTACAAAAATATCGTCGGTGAGAGACAAGCATGGAAAGAAATCTGATGCAAGGCATTTGATAAATGTAGACAAAATACTAAGGAGATGCGGAAGAGGGAACTAACACGCTTGGGGGAAGAACCACACAAGGCTCTAGTGGAACAGGGTGAGATTTGTGGTGAGCATTTGCAAATTGACAGGAGAAATGGGAGAGGAAACATGGAGAAAGTTCCTGTAAATTCTGACATGCAATATGAGCGGTGAACAGAAATAGAAGAGACTTGGCATCTGTTCTAATGTTTCAAGGGAAGTTGGAGCAAGCAGTGCAGTTTTTTGAAAGAAAACAGGAACTGGCAATTCAATACAAATAAAAAAAAATATTTATTGAGTGCCTGCCAGATGGAGGGCCTTCCAAAAGCATACAGAGGATATAGGGAGAAGATAACAAGGGCACAGCCCGTGTTTCAGATGCATTTATAAACTACTAAGGGAAATAGTCATAAATGACCATAACACAATGTTGAGTAAGATAAACATCAATAAGAACAGTGATGGGGTTAAAGGGACAGAGAAGTGACATGAGAAGGACATGGGAGAGAGAGGTGAAGCTTCAGCTTCATGGAAGAGGTAAGACGTCAAGATTGACCTTGGAGGAGGTGCCATTGATGGGGATGGTTATGAATTGCATGAATTCAGGAGGGCCACATATAACTCCCCAAAGAAGGGTGCTATCAATATTTTGAGCAAGGACCGCACTATCTGAACAATGAAATGACTCCAAAATGTGACCGTGGTTTAGGGGACAACAAAATGCAATTTACAACTGGGATATGTTTGTTTAAACATGGGATCACAAACTTCCAGTGACATCAGAGCTCTGGACATTTCTAGTTCTATTGAAACTGCCCGGCTTGCAATGAATTCGGGCAATGACGGGCGCCGCGGGCCAGAGATGGTGTGTGTGAGCTTCCGTATGCAGCCCGAGAGCATCACGAGGCAGCTTACTGAGGTGTCCTGCCTAAGAAGAGCCACTTACCATGAACAAGGCTTCATAATTTTCAATCATTTTCTGCACCACAGCAATGATGGCCGTGCTTTCCTCAGCCCGGGCTGAGCTCTGGACGGAGAATTCTTTGTCTGACGATTTCTGCTTGTGCAGCAGGTTGGGTCCAAATATGGTGGCCAAGTTTAGAGAGGTCATTTTGTTCCCAGTGACCTGTAAGAGCAGACAACACAAGGATTGGCGTTATTTCTGCTTTTCAAACTGCTGGGTGGATCAATAATCAAAGGGACCTTTTTCCTTTTTTTTTTTTTTTTCCCTGCAAGGACAATATCACCTCTGGCAGAATCTGTGAGGAGCACTGTCATTTTCCTTTTGCTTCATATCTTGGATTGACTCTCATAGCTTAGCGGTCATTTCGATAGCATATTAAGTACAATTTTACATCTGTAAGTTATTCATTGTGGAACTGGTACTATATAAAATGTCTACCCTGTCTGCTTTTAAAAAATACTGATGTCAAAAAAATAAATAAATAAATAAATAAATAAAAATAACAACAACAAAAAAATACTGATGTCCATCCATCCATCCATTCATCCATCCAACCAACCACTCGTCCATCCATCCAAGCCAGCCAGCCAGCCCTACATCTATCCCTAAATCTATCAATCCATCATCCCTATATTAAATCACCCATTCAGGGCCTACCACAGGCTACACCATTTTCGTGGATTTGAATTATTTAAAATTTTTCCAACAATGACCATAGTACAGTCCTTATTTTAAAGAATTCACTTTCTAGGGGGTAAATAAACATACCAATTCTAAGGAGTGAGTACAAAGTATGAAGCTATCAACTCTGGAGGCCCCAGGGACACTTCAAAGATGTGGCAACATTTGCACAAAACCATGAAGGAAGAACAGTGTTTGTTAGGCTGAAAAGCAGAGGAGCTGAGGCAAGGGATGATTTGACAGTGGGAAGAACACCCTATGCAAAAACAAAAACACGTAAAATACATCCAGGCACCGTGTGGCAGAGGGTTCTGCAGGAAAGGCAGGCAAGGGCCATTGCCATGTGTCCCCTGTGGGCAAAACTGCCCCTGGTTGAGAACCACTGGGCTAGGCAAAATTTTCTTTCTCTTGTCGGTATTAGTTGAAACTCTAGGAACACAGGGATACGTATGGGGACTGTGGCTGCTTAGTGGGGCTCCTTGGTCTGGGAAGATGTGCACAGCCTTTGAGAGGCACCTGGGTGCCCAGCACAGAATTCAAGAGTCCTGATTCACAGCCACGAGAAAGACGCCTGGTCCCACCCTTGTCCTGGGGAGCCCTGAGCTGGTGGCCACCCGGTCCCAGCATGGCACATGGCGGGTGCTATTTTTAGAACGTGAGCCTGTTTTCAGGCCTCCTGCCAAGTGAAATGCTTTCACATGGCAAACACTGGGCATTTTCACGGAAGGACTCTTTATATGTATGACTGTTCGATTATTTGTTTTCCTTCGTTTTACTTCATTGACATAAAATTTGACATTTTTTTATTTGATTTTTCCTTTCTCTTCCTGGAAATTTACGGCTGAGGATAAGATCAACTATGTGTCATTTTCAAATGCATCCCTTTGGAACTCAGGCATTTGGAGTGCTTCCCCTTACCCCCTGAAAGTCATATCAGGGTTTTCCCATTTTTATTTTAACATTAACAAATAGGAGATTTTGTTTTCTTTTAAAAGAATGTTTAGCACAAGGACAGCCCAGAACTCTGTATCCGTTCCCTCCTTCGCCTGTTGCTATTCTGGGAGCGCAATGCAATCCGTCCGTAAAATGGCACATAGATTCCAGCTGCAGACCATCCTGCTGGGCTTCGTTAGCGCTTTTGTGTTATGTTGTGATTTGTTCTTGTTTTACTGCGTTTGGGACCGGAAAGGAGACTTGCTCGCGGCAGCGTCCACCCCTGCAGCCTGTGCTGCACCTAAGTCCACACGTGTCTAAGCAACAACACGTGCCCTTGGGGGCAGCTCACGAGTTCATTATTAGCCAGCCAACTAAAGGAATGATTTTTATCTTCACTAAATAAGCATCCTAGATCCTCTCTATACCTAATAGGAATCGCTCACATTTATCACCAGTCTAGCATGTACAGTCAGTCACCGGACTAGGAACTTTCCACAGGCTGTTTCAGTTCTTTCACACTGTAAGCTCATGAAGCAGCTGGGCTGTTGTCCTTTTTTTTTTTTTTTTACAAAACAGGGAAGTGATGCCCAGAGCCCGTAGCCAGGAGTGGGGTGGAGCCGAGAAGCCAGCCTGTATCTTCCTCATGACCCTACCCCTCCCACGGGTCACAGCATGGGGCAATGGGAAAGCTAAACTTTAAAGCAGGGCCGGGATTGGGGTCCTCACCAGCACTGGTCCTGCTCCAGTTCCAAAGCCAACCCCCCACTTCCTGGAGGTATGCACCTCCTCAGAGATCGGTAATCCCGGCTTTATACTGGTGGCTCGTAATGTCTTTTTTTTTTTTTTTTTTATTATGTTATGTTAGTCACCATACAATACGTCAGTAGTTTTTGATGTAGTGATCCACGATTCATTGTTTTCATATAATACCCAGTGCTCCATTTCTTCTGCCTCGTAGACTCTTTGAAGAACTGAAGGCCGGCTACGGACTCTCTCACCAAGAAAGTGCACATCCACATCACATTTTCCATGCAATACCCGAGCGTTCTTGGACAACCTGAAAAACCATGGCTCAAGAGGTTTCAATTATGCTCCTGCAATATTCTTTCTAGAAGAAAGGAAATTGTTCTTCCCTTTGGGAATTTCTCTTTTTCCCAAGGAGCAAAGCAAATAAAATGGAATAAAACAAAGCAAACACAGATAGCGAAACACCATACTTTAATAAAATATCATTATTTTTTTTCCCCAGAAAAGCACTGATTGACCAGCCAACAAATTTTCTCATGCCCTTCTTTTCAAAATCGTGACAATCCTATTAGTTAATGATGCAGTAAACTGTAAGGGCCAATTAGAAAGGAAATACTATGCTCATTTCATAGAGGAGGAAGCTCAGACCTCCCCCCTCCGCTAACTCTGTTCTCTTCCCTCTTCCTCTATTTTATAGAAACAAGGTCATGCAGCAAGGTGCCGGCGGAGCGTGTGCAAGCCTCCAAGCTCCTTGATGCTCTGGCTCCATTTCTTCACGTTCCAAACCTTAACAACCACCCAGCAGAGACAGGACACATCTAACCCCGACCAACAAACAGGCGAGAGGAAAAGCTGAAAGCTGCCCTGTCTCTGGAGCACATCTGACAGTTGGATTTTGGCCTCACCTGCAGTGCGCCCATCCTGTATCTTCTACGTGCTCGTGCCAAACCACCACCAACAAAATATTCGGCAAACGCCCTCTAGTTCCTCTCCCTCCACTCTGAACTTCGACCAGAGGGGCTTTCAGCTAACCCCCATCCCCACACAGAGCTTATGTGTTCCGTTCACTCAAGCCCTACGCATCTGCTCGTGTGCGCTTTAAATTCAGTCTTCTCCGTGAAGCCACTCCTAACTTCTCTGGCCCGTGTTCACCACCTTTTCCCCGAAGCTCTGGGGTGACTCTGCACTGCCTCCCCGAAGTCTACACTTGCCTTGTGTCCTCACCTCCTCCACCTCCTAGAGGCCGCAGCACCCCAGGAACAGTAATTAGACCACTTCTGAACAACACTCAGATAGGAGCTCAGGATGTCCGTGATTCAAATACCAAGGCCACTGCTCCATGGAGACTCTGACAATGTGAACTGCTCTTCTGCACATTGCTATTCATACAGAAGCTTCCCAACTCTCTCCCTCCCTGCCTCTAACCAGTCTACAGCGTGGGCGACACTGCCTCAGTGGAATCCTTCCAAACATTCAGGGCTTAAAAGAATGCAGCACCTACCCCCTTACAAAGGCATTCAGCACTCTATGAACACAGCCTATTTCCCCTCGTACCTCCTTGGGGCCTTCCCACTCCATAGCCTTCACTCCAACCTCAGACGGCGGCGTGGGCGGCCATTTCACGGAAGCAACCCTCTCCCCTCTCCCCCCTGCTGCTTTGACGTTCGGTCACTAGTCCTTCCTCTTGACTCAAGGTTTAGGTCGGGAGTGTCTAGAAACCCTCGCTAACTCTTGCTTCCCTGTACAACTTTGCTGTCCCCAGGATATTTTCATATTCCTTAGTGTAAACTAGTCTTCTCAACCCCCGTGCAGTGCCGGGTGAAGAAACTGTATCCCCCAAGTTCAGATAAGGAAGCTCAGGTTTAGGAAGGTGAACAGATTTCTCCAAGAACACATGGTCAATTAGTTATAAAGCTACCGAGTGCTCTCAACCAGGGGTGACTCTGCCCCGCCTCCCAGCCCTCACAGGGGACTCGGTAATGTCCAGAGATGCTTTTGGTTGTCACAACCGGGGCACGGTGGGGAGCTGCTACCGACATCAAGTGTTTAGTAAAGGCCCGGGATGCTGCTCAAGCATCCCAGAGTGCACAGGGCAACCCCTACAATTACCTGGTCCCAAATATCAATGATATGGAGGCTGGAAAACCCTCAACTAGACTCCCCCATGGGGTTTTTTTCCTAATTCCTAGTTTAGATTTCTGCTCTTAGGAAGCTAGACCGGTTTGGATTTGAGCCACAGCTGCGACTTTACTGGTCACTGGATGGCCCCGACCACGGACCCCCTCCCTCAACATATTCTCCTGCCATCTTCTGGGATATTGTCCTGCTCCCTCCGCAAATCTACAGTGCCCATGGGGTCCATTGCGCCTCCCCCAGAGTTGTGAAATGCACAAATGCACAGCTTGTGCACGTGGAGCTCCCTGTGGGACACTGGGTGAGTTACTTAACCCCTCCAGGCCTCAGTTTCCACCTCTGAAACATGGGGGCAGCAGCAGCTGCCTTGTGCAGTGGAGGACTGACTGTAATGTGTGAAGCCTCTGGCATGCAGCCAGCACGAGGTCTGAGAGAGACAGAGGACAGCAAGCGTGTCAGCAGGCCAAGCGGCATTTGCACCCATCCAGGAATATTTTCTTCATTTCGGCGTAGGTGATGGAGTCTCGTTGAGCATTTGGACTGAAAGAGTGTCTGAAAACGATTCTAAAAAAGCAAGAGTGGCTTCAGTTGGACTTCCTGCTTTCCTCGATGCCTTCTCAGTCCCCTAAGAGCCGACCGCCTGCTCACATCTTACTCCAGAAGCATCTGAGAAGCAGTTGGCGTGCCTAGGATCGCAGTCAGGGCTCTGCCTGTACCCAGTGGTTAGGCAGATGATTCTACAGCTCGTGCTGTATCTGCAGCTGATAAAGGATGACACCCAGACGGGGAATACAACTACTTAACAATTATGAGAATTACAGCATATCCCTGGGAGAGCTGCGTCTGCTAAAATAAGGTGTCAGGACCGTATTATGAAGCCTGAAGCCAGCGAGGTTTCACTAATTATAAGTACGATAGAGACACATGGCTAATTCAGGAAAGTTCCATTCTCACACCAATAGCGAGGATGACGATGAGAAATGCAGAACTGCCTTTCTGGATTAAAGTGAAAGAAAAAAAAATACATGACCAGGATTTTTAGGAAAGAAATTTGATAAATACAGAACTGAATCCACCATAGGGCTGAGCTCTGCTTAACAAGGATTTAAAAGAAAAGTTTCTGTGGTGAATAAGTATGGAATGCCTTTGGCCTCTTTGTGTTTGATTTATAATGAGTGTTAGCACAGGAAAGGGTCTGAGATCACCTGGGGAATCCAAGGTCAAGGAGAATGCATCTGCATTCTGACTGCATCGTATCAAAAAGGGAAACAGAGCTCTTGTTAAGGTGAAGATTAAATAGGTTGCTTGTTGATTGGTCACCTAAAATTGAGGCCAGCATCTCCTTTGTCCAAGGGTGAAACCAAAAACTACATTGAAGCATATGGGTGTGACCAAAGAGAAATGGAGCCCAGGACCTCAGATGGCCAGGGGGTGGGGTCACCCTAGGGCCCGAGTGGGGACCAGGTTCAACGAGAACATCCCAGGAGGGCCCATGGGACTGTGCAGAATCTGTCCAGTAGCCGACCCCCTGTGGCATCCAGATGCATGGCGATAGCAGATCAGACCTTCTAGTTCCTTCTGGTTCCTTCTCCACCTGGTTTGGAAGCGGGACTGACTCTCCATGGCTTTAAGCCAGTCGATTTTGGGGGAGGGGTTTAAGGAGAGAAAGGACCTCTCAAAAGGAGGAGACTAGACTTCTAGCTATAGGGCAGATGGGAGCTTGAGGGACAAACAGGAAGCATAACGAGGTGACATCACATTTGGGCTCCAAGTTAAGGAAGCAAATCAAATTAATGACAAGGACAGCAATCTCCCCCCACCCCCATTACTCCATTTTTTCATGATTGTAAACCCCTCCGGAGCTCATTGCTCGTCTTCTTCACACAAATGGAAATTCAAGGTCTTGCGTAAAGCATCATCAGGGAAAATGACAGCCTTGTTTAGAAGCATTCTGGCAACACAGGACGTTAATGGCCTATGTGCTCTTAGGAACTGTCCCTCCCGAGAAAGGCCTGCACTAGTTCTCTTTTGACATCAATAGCTGGGTCAGGAAAGGGCAGGTGTCATTTCCTCCAGGTGAAACAGCTCATCAAATTGATGGCCCACTCTTCTACAACCGGGAAAAAGGAGGAGTCACAGCATCTAGGGCCGCGGGGGGCGCATCATACCTCTTGCCCATCCTTGCTGACGTTGTCATTGGCATGCCTGGCCACCATGGAGAGGAACTGCAGGAGGCGGTGGAGGGTGTCGCAGTTACAGGGAGGTAGAAGGTAGATGAGGAGCTGCAAGGTGCCCAGTTGTTCCTCTGGTTCCAGCACTAAGCAAGGCAAAAGGAGGCATTCTGAGTTAAGTTAAAGGGGGAACTCCCACCATTCAGGTTCTGAGAAGAGGCTCCTCTCCACCCCTTTCAGAAAGGGATTAGCCAGGCCAGCCACATTCCACTCCAACCATTCTCCCATTGGCTTAGCAACTTAGCGCAAGGTTCTGTGACGGACATAAAGATAAAGTCGCCCTGGGGAAATGAAACATCTAGAGCGAACATTATCATCCCGGGGAGAAAGGTAGCTTAATTTCCCTTACTTGCTTCTCCCTCCCTTCCCTGGCATTACTCATCATTTACTTTGTGGATTACAGTCTTTCATCTTCTGTAAATATTTACTAACAATGACTGGGAGTTGGTGAACATTCTAAAAGTTGAGTTTATAGCAGATTTGAGGCCCTTTTCTGTTGAGCAATCCACAAGGAATTGACTTTTTGTTGGCAATAACCAAAGACACGGCACAATGACAGTGTCTTCACTCTCTTCTGTGATCCTGTTTTAACTGTGGCACTGGAGGAAGAAAAATATGGAGGCTGTCACAGCTCTGGCCTGTTTCTCCTCCCCTCGTCCTCCTTTTCTCCTCCATGCCATCTGGGTCTATAGCCCTGGAGCAGCCATATTGAAAGCCCTGCCACTGGGCTATGTCATCCTGCTTTCCCTGGAATGTTGCCTGCCCCCTTTTCTCACTCTGGGTTCCTGTGGCTCCCTCCTTCCGCGTAACCAGAAACGCAAACTCATTTTGAGGCACAGACTCAATGTGAACTCTTGCTGTTCCTCCAAAGCATCAGTTTATAGCACTTTCTACTGTGCTGGGGTCATCTGAAAGCATCCCAAATTCTTCTTTATTTTATGGCAACTTTCTCCTTGCTAATTCTCCCCAGGGTAAATCTCAGAAAATTCCCCAAATACCCCACTCATTAGAGACCAATAAATAAGAACAACAACAAAAAAAGTTATTGGGAAACACATGCACAAGGTTCGTCGAGTGAGTCGGACATCCCAGGAAATCCCAGGAAGTGTTCCTGCAAATGGCCGTGTTACGCACAGAGAGTATTGATGAAGGCTGTGTACAGCTCCCTGGTGAGAAGGGGGTCCGGCATGTCCCTGAGGAACTCCTTCAGCAAGGCAGCAACATCGTGAACGCTGTGCTCTTCCTCCAGAGAGACATCGACCCCACGGTCAAATTCCTCACGTAACTGGAAAAATAATGGTTCAAGTGGCAGTCTTATGACACCATACCTCAACGTTCAGGGCCCAGCAAACCAAGTGTGGGGACATGCAGTATCTGGTCTTAAGCTTATACAGACACTGGAAAGGAGAAGAAAACAACATTTTGCCGTGATCTACAGAGTCTATGCAATCCAGCCATGAATATATATATTATGCATTATTAAATAAATGTATCTGTAGGTTTACTGTTAATGATGCAAGCAGAAGGGCTGGAGAATGACATCCAGAAGATTGGGAGGAAGAGCTGAGGGGTTAGGTCAAGGGTAAATGTGGGAGGGAGGAATTCATCTATCCTCCAGCAGTTTTGCATGTCAGTGATCCTACCAGGTTGGAATTTTGACATTTTACAGAAATACTCAACAAGAAAGCAAGGTTTTTTGCTGCACATGATGAAATTAAAAACCCTGATAAGCCCTTTGTGACTAAGGCTCGAAAGATGACAATTACTAAAAAAAAGCTGTCTTAGATTTGTCAAAGTAGCCTTATTAACAATTCCCAAAAGGATTCCCTGACTTAATCGTTATCCTGGGTTTGTCAGCATTTATGACAACACGAAAACACGATAGCAAGACGAAGGGAGTCATAACTCTACACTCGACTTCCATGACCGACAGCTCAACTTCTTTGTATTGTTTTCTAGTGTAGAAATAATTCCGTGAGTTCCTGAATCTCCTCTATGCAATAAGCTTCTGTAAGAGTTTATCGGTTCAATTACTCATTCACCCATTCATTCAACTTCCTGCGTACCGGGCCTTGGCACAGGGTCTCAAAGTACACTAGGGAACAAAGAGGCAACGTCCCTATCCTCCCCCAGCTCTCAGGCTGGTGAGCAACTGGTAATCCCATAGACGATTAATTAGCTGTTAATATTGTGACAACTGTTCTGAATAAAAAGTGTAGGGTGCTAAGAAGTGATGTTCAAGATAAAATGGTAAGTTAGGGCATATTTCACACTAGGAATCGAAGTCTCAATAACCACAAATCACATTTTGATTGGAAAACCCTTAAATAAATCTCTATGCCAAGGTTTTCCCTTTGGTGGATCCAGATATAACTGAGGGATAATTTCGGCCACTAGCCACCTCTCCACCTGATGAGAATGCCCATCACTGTCCCGAACTGCTCACTGATTCCAGGCAACTGTCATCAATGTATAGTAGGCAGCCAGAACGGAAGTCTCCCACTTGGCACCACTCCTTCCTCTGATCATTCAAACACGCCACGTTTCTCTCCTGAGCACACACATGAGCAGAAAGAACGGACCGTGGAAAGCGGCTTAATCTCAATTGTGGGATCTTGAGTTTAACATTGATCTTGAACTGAACCGGGAGTAAACTGTGTGATCTTGAATTAAGTTTCTTAATTTCTCTTAATTTCTCCAAGCCTCAAAAGAAGTGGGTGAAAGGGCTCCGCTCACAGCTGGTGGGTGGAATCAATAAGGAAATGTTTTGAAAATATTCTGCTGCTCTGCTCAGGTGGGAGGGCCCCAAAATGTTATCACGCTATCTTCCTTCTTGCTAGCCCTGTGGCCAAATGTTAAATGTTCCGTAGTCTCTTAGGTGACTATTGAAAATAAAGGCAGGGGCGCCTGGGTGGCTCAGTTGGTTAGGCTACTGCCTTCAGCTCAGGTCATGATTCTGGAGTCCCGGGATCGAGTCCCGCATCGGGCTCCCTGCTCGGCAGGGAGTCTGCTTCTCCCTCTGATCCTCCCCCTCTCATGCTCTCTGTCTCCCATTCTCTCTCTCAGATAAATAAATAAAAAATCTT